ACCGGCCGGTATTATAGGGGCCGGACTGGCCATACATGTGGAACGGGATGAGTCTAACCGACGCCGTAAACAGAAACAATTGGCTGCCATCCTATTCATACAATCCACGTACCGGTGCTATAAGGCTGACCACTGGTACTATGAGCACAACACCACTTCAGCTGACATACCGGTGCCTCAAATGGGTGGCCAGTTGTACACTATTAATAGTACGGCGACGAGAAATGCCGTGCGATTCGTGAGAATAACCCGATTTTTGGCCGCAAAACGGCGTTTCAGAGCCGCTATGTCTGGGGAACTGGACGTCGATCAGGCGTTCAGTAGCTATAAATGCAATCAGATGTCTGTCCATCAGAGGATATCCCAGATTAATGATGTCATGAATGTTATGGACCGGAAGGTTAGCATTAATGAGAGTTTGGCGCAAAAGTCTGAACAGAATATTCTGTACAGAATAGAGACCATGAGTTCAGTCATTGAGTACATCGAGTGTCAACTGAAGCGACAGAATATGTTAATGGATTTCATTGAATATAATAGCGGTTTAAATGCAAATAAATTTCATACAAAGTGTACTGAAAATACTAACCATAAGAATAGTATTAATGATAATAATGTTTACAATAAAATATATGAATCGCGAATAAATGAAAAAGTATTTTATTTGAAAAACTGTGTAAATAATGAGAGTTCGCATAATATTTCGTAATTATTTTTGTAATATTTTTTGTGTGTATTTAAATGCTTGAAATAAATTATTTATAAAAAGTGTGATTAAACTCTAATTTAAAAATAAAATAACTTTTGTAGACAAGAATTTCTATAAATATTATTAGACTTTATTCACAAATAATATAAACTACAAGGAGTTAAATAAATATTTGCATTTGATGTTGAAAATGATCCTGATATCAATTATCACTGAGCATATAAGGATTAAAATTCCTTATAATAACTATAAGAATCAAATGAATCTCAAGTGAAATCTCAAGAATATTCTTATCAAATAAGTCAAGTAATTACACGTACGGTGGAAATCGTTTGATAATTTATTATATGATTACTAGTACCTAGATTACTAGGTATATGTGCAAAAAACAATTGCAATGAAATAGCGATCAAAAAACAATAGTAAATGTAGTTTTATATCAATTCATGTATAATATATTTATATTTATAAAGGATTTAGAAAATGAGGGCAAATATATAGTTCATAAAACTTACGATTAGTTTACCAATGAGTGTCACAAATAACATGCTATTTATGAATATATATGATATGACTATTGCTTTATAATAAAAACATACAATTCTTCAAACAAAATAATTACATTCAAAAAATAGTAACTTATAATTAAAATAATTAATTCATTAAATGCATAATAAAAACACTAAAAATCATAAAATTTCATATCCAAAAATGAACCATGTATATAAATTTGTTAACACACACGCTATTTAAATACAATATATATTCACGCGACTCCTGTACCGGGAATTCCCTTTCACACGGAATTCCTCCTAAGACTCATTGAATTATCACAAAATTTATTATTACTATAACTATTGGTATTATTCACAAAATTACTACAACTTTGTCGGCCATCGGTGGCCGTACCGGAGGACTGGGAGTCCAGCACGTAGTCGACAAACTGCTCGCTACGGATCAGTCGCCGGGAGATACCCTCCATCACCGGTAGCTGACTGTCAACCCTCGCCATAATGGCCATCAGTGTCACCTCCAGTCTCTCAATCTTGCGCTCCAGACACGTATTCGCGCCGTAAATCCGCTGTTCATTAGCGCCAATCTTACGGACAATACTGTCCACCGACCTCTGGATCAGCTTAACCTTATTCATCACATCCAGCTGCCCGTCCTTATAGCTTTGCAACACATTCTTGATGTCCAGGGGCCGTAGGAGTTCCTTGAACCGTTGTTTGGCTATGAAAAACTTGGTCAGCCGGACAAATTTGTTGGCAATGTTCTCGTAGTCATGTTTTTTGAACAAATCCATGGGTTTGTGCTTAAAAAATGAGGAAACGGCTACATAATTGGCGTTAGCCTTGTAGCACCGCCACATGCACTGGATCAAAATGGCCGCGGCCACTTTTTTCTTCTTTCGCTGCTGATTGCGCTCCTCCTCCTCCACTTTGAGGGCCAGTCCGGTGCCGATGATGCCCGCGGGTAAGGCGAATATGGCCACCCCCAGTACGGTGAATAAGCTGGATATTAGTTTGCCCAGCCATGTCATCTGTGAGGGTGCGAGAGGTAGGTGTTAATCTAGCGTATGTTTTCGGGCTAGTTATGTAGGTTTTGTTTGTTTTTTTTGATACTGATTTGTGGATTTTTAAATTTGTAATTTTGAACGTGAAAATGTAAGCAATGCTAATTATATCTTATCCGATAAAATAATCTAATATTTTAAAATTAAAACTAATTTATTAATATATATATGAATTACTTTAGTAATACAGTATAACAAAATTATTATTGTATAAACTGTAAACTAAAATAACTAAAAAATTTCATGTATAACAAACTATAAAACAAATATAAATCGGGAACAAACCGAACTCATTTTACAAACAGTAATTAAAAATTACATAAACTAAACATGGTAATCTACGAAAACTCAATAATAAACTTGGCTACTTTGACATAACTTTTGGATAATTTAAAAATCTATAAACCTTGTATATTTTATTAACTATGGCATGCGTTAGTACTGTAAATGTAAACAAAAGTGAGTGAAAGTGTGTAAAACTTTTACAAAATTTATTTAAAGTTTGTAAAAGTAGGTGAATGAGTACTAGTACAGTATATTAATAAATGTCATTTTTGATAACTAATTATCTGTAATTAATTGTGTTTTAAAAATCAAGTGTAATATTCAGTGCAAGTGTATTGTAACATAAGGTCATACGCACCGGCACTTTATCCCCGTAGCCAACCGTCGATAGGGTAACCAACTGTATGGACACAAAACAAAATAAAATAAAATAAAACCTCAAAAGATTATAACTATAGTAAATCACAACACAACACCAAAAAAACTACATACCGGTGCTTTTAAAAAACTTACTAGCTAAATTAAAACAATTCACTAAAAATACACCAAAAACTACTTTACAAAACTTCAAACTACCGTCACTTTACTTGGGGAAGGGGGACAGGGATCACACAAAGGGTTGTATAGACTATCACACACACACAAAAACAGACATCCCTTACCGCCCACCACATGGCCTCCGCTATGCTGTCGAACTGGTGGTTCTCATCCTTCTCCACGATATAAGAAATGTACGCCAATATACACAACACTATGAACTCGATGTAAAATATGATAAACAACTGCTCCCTCTGGTCGTAGATGACCGAGGACAGCACCTTCCAGGGCTGCAGTTGCTTATTGAGGGTCAGTATCTGTAGGACTTGAAAAAAGCGGTGAAACCCGCGGAAAGCCGACGCCGCGAACACCTCGTGACCGCTCGATGGGTTGATCGTCAACACCACCAGCGATAGGGTGATGACGATGACATCCATGAGCCGCGAGGGCACCGACAGGTACTTGATTTTACCCGACCAGCCCTGGTATTGGTTTTTGCAGCTCGACGACCACATCCGGATTATGAATTCCCCCGAAAACCATATGATTATGACTTTCTCTAACAGGTATAGGAAGCGTAGGGCTCCTACATGTCGAGAGGGAGGGAGATATACAAAGCAATTAGTATACCTGTGCTATCGGGGAATATGTGCATTCGATTAATGATTATAATTATTTTAATTTATTTTAAGCTAGTTACTTTTGCTATTAAGTTATTTCTATTTAGGTAGTTTTACCTAGTTACTTAAAAATTGTTAGTAAGTTATAAGTTATATTTTTTATATAGAGATTTTAGAGGTTAGGCACCTATTGCATGTGATTAGTACACTTAATTTGACCAAGCTAATTATATAATGAGTACACTAACCGACTTGAAACTCGTCAATCGTTGAGAATACCGTGACTATAAGGCACGCGAATACCATAATGAACACCAGTATGTGATAACTTATGGCCCAAAAACCTATGGGTTTAGTAAAAATAAATACAAATATTTTGTTGTAAAAATTGTAAATAAAAGCAATTAATACATAAAACATATAAAATCCAAACCAATCTAATATCTATTGGGATATGCATTAAATTCATTTTTAATTTTTAAAATTATTCAGATTATCTTGATAATTTTACCTCGATACTTATTGCTAGGCACTTATTTACAATTTTGAATTACTTAAGTATTAAAAATTAATTCCGTTACAAACTGTACACTAAAACCACTACCAATTTAACCAAGTATAACAAAAATATAAACTAAAATAACTGATACATACAAAAAAGTTGTTAATTTTACAAACTGTAACCCACAAATTACACAAAACATACTCCAGCTAATTAACACAAATTAATACTAAGCATGGACACTCACACACTAACAAACTTAACACCATAAACAACCTAGTCTGACCAACCTTTTGGGTAATTGAGAAAATTATAAACCATGTACTTTTGCTTGTAATTCTTGGTTTTTTGGTTGAAGTAGGTATGCATCCCGAGTACGGACCCCAACTCCTCGTCCGATTGGCGGCACTCCCTAATCGTGCGCTTATTGTTCACCTCCTGAAGCATAGCCAGTATTTTACGCTTCGTGTAGGCGCTGGTGTTGTTGAAGGTCTGGACGTTGGATAAGTCGAAACCATTGGCATTCTTCTGGATCACTATCTGCGGGACTCCGGTATCCTTGTTGAGCACCACTACGCTGTTGCGTTTGGTCTGGTATAGGGAGATGGGAGGGCTGGTAGTTGACTGCTGGGACAGGTACTCCCGTTGCACCCGGTTTAACATTGTGGGGTCCAGTTCCGCACTTGTATTTTAATGGGCAATGGATATGAGAATAATGTGTTAATTTCAGTGAATATTTAGCTAGCAAGTTTATATTCAGTGAATATTTATAGCTATGAAGTGAATATATTACACTAGGAGATTAGTATCCAGTTAATTTCTCAGTTAAATAGCGTTTCATATTCTCATAGCAAGTATTTGGAGCCAAATATTGTACACAAAAATAATATCGCATTTGAAGTCATATTTATTTATATATGTCTTAATGATTATTACGACGCCTTTTCTCACTCACTCTCATCAACACATAAATAATAAATAAAATGAAAAACTATTTTTTGTTGACTCAAAAAATATATATTTATTCACTATTAGCTACACTTCACTTAATACACAGACAACCAGTTAATAGCCATGTATTTAGCGTTTCAATGCTATGAACGCCGGGTGTATTCAATGGACGGCTAATACACTACTGTAGGCACCGATTGACTGAATCGACAAAATGGGAAACTTTTTTCGTAACGAAGTTATAAATAGTTTGCAATAAATATCAATCACTGCTGAAAAATAGTGAACACTGTATATAATGAAGTGTATTAATACGTAAACTGATGCCCCAATCGATGTGTTGATTAAGTGAACAAAAATGTTTTACTAATAAAAACCACAGGAAAGGCAACTTAATAGCACTTCGTATATGAAATTGATAACTATTTCTATGTATTTGTGATTCACTTGAATACTGACTTAAAACACTAGTCATTACATACATACACACAACACATTATCAACACATTAAGTGGCTATTAGTTATTGAAAGTCTACAATAAATGCTAAATTACTTTCTTAATTATCTCTACGAAAAGTAAGTATTACTTGTTTTACAGGCTTTTCAATCATAAGACGTGTGCAGGTCTTCAAGGGATGGGATTAGGTAGTGAATGGGGAGGGCCTACTTAGGTATCAAAAATGTGCACTGATACTTTTATAATCTACTGATTTAAGAGTTATATTGAATATGATTGTGAGATACGTGATAAATAGTATACATGGTGATAATTAAAGGGGTCAGTACCGGGGACAACCTTGCTATAAACTGGGTAATTTTTAAGTGTACTGTAGATACATTAGCAAGATAATTAGGTGCTATTAATAGATAAAAGTGTGTACAACAAAGGGTTTCTGTATTCCCGGTGAAACGGTATGTCTGAAAATGTTATGATAGGACTTACAATGAGTTTAATTGTGAATTGAATTGAAGTTTTTGTATTTCATTCACACTTATAGTGAATATAATTCATTGAATAATTGCATGCATTTATACAGTGATTGACTGTATTTCTATGTAGTATAGTATATATATTTAATTTATTATTATGTATACTTGTGTGTATAATATAAATCTGGTTAAAACTCGCACCGATAGTAACGTGTCTAATGTTAAATGAAATATAAGTTTATAAGATTTTAAGATTTACTTTTAAAAACAGTACAGTAAATACTATTTATAAAGTTTGTGTCAAACCGATAGCAACATAGCAAACAAAATGTTTGAATATGTTTGCCACAAAAATTGGTGTCAATTATGGGTTTTCCACGCGATATGACTATTAATAAATTGTAATTTTCCTAAACCTTTACAAAGATTTTCTTATAAATGTTTTGTTTACTTGTATTCATTTGTTTGCATGACTTTTGTATCAAATGTTTGATGTAAAAGTGAAAATTTGTTATACATTTTGCTTATTAGCGGAGAGAGAGAGAGAGAGAGAGAGAGAGAGCTATTAAATGTCATAAGAAATAAATACAAGAATTTTCTAAACTTTTTTTTGATGACTTGATGTCATGTTTTTCATATCTCTATGACATGTTTTACACAACAAAAACTCAATACATTTGTTAACCACATATTGATTACAAATTATGATTATGTACTATACTATCAAATTGATCCAGGGGCTAGGGATAGGGGTGGACTCACTCACACACACATGTTAAAAACATACGCCTAAAAAAGTGCATGCTACATATTAATTTTTAACCACTGATATGACAATAGCTACGATATACTATTAGATACCATGTTAAACATCAACCTCCCGACCCCCACAGCACTGGTACCCCTTTGAATATACCACATTTCATAGGAATTAATACATTATCTCAAAGTTTACATTAATTTGTAAGACAAGACACTCTCTAACTGTCAGATAAGGCAGTCATTCAGCGAGACGTCAAACAAACTGATGGTTCAGCCAGTAATGGATATAAAGTTTTTGATTGTCTATTAAATAACATGTATTTATATCTCATTAGTAATATATGAATAGCTAGTATAACGTGAGAAATAAGCTAGAAAAGTATAAAATTGTTATTTATGTTTGTTTATTTATTAGCTAGAAATTTATTGGTAACGAGTGATTTGAAAACAAAATTTTTTTGTCATGTTTTCTGTAATAAATCATATGTTGTTTAGTATTTAATAACAGGAAATGTTTAGTAATTTGTGTTCAGTTATAAATAAATAGATTTTAATTTTATTGTAAAAAAGTTTTAATTACAAATTGTCTAAATGTCTGTGTAATTACTACTTAATAATTCATTGATTATTGTAAATTAGATAAACCTTTATATTAAATTATATATCGTATTTGAAATCACTATAAAAATTATTTTTAGGTATAAATCCCCTAATTAAATAAAAAATGACAAAAGTTTTGAAATGTTTGCCAATTAAATGTATGTCTCAAATCATAAATAATATAACAAACAGAAAAATCGTGACCAAGGTACATAAGGTTTTGGTTAAATAAACTTTTACTTTGCTATTATTCTCATTGAATTTTCTCATAAAAGTTTTCAATGATAATTGTATTATACAATTCAATACATAATAAAATAACAATGAAAAATATATTTTCAAAATTCATGGACAGTGTATTCATTCGTAATAATAGATATAATATTATAGTATCCATTAATTGCAAACTGATTTATTACATAAAAAAAGTTTCATTCAAGATTTGTAATTGCTAAATTAAAGTTTTAAAATTATACTATTACTCAAAATAAAAATTATTTAGAAAACATATATTTTTCTCAAAGTTTGAAATGAATTAATTACTAATTTTATTAAATTGAGTACAAAATTAATTTTATACTGTACAAAAAAAAGTTTTAGATTGTAGGTGAATGGTATTCTGGGCAATATTCATTTTAAAAATATATAATTATACTAAATTCATTACTGTATATTAATTAACCCTAAATTATTATGCTATTATTGAATAACTATTGCAAACTTGTATTATATAACCGACTTGTATTATATATTATATACACGTGTTTTAATGTCAAATAGCAAGCAATATAAATAAATATACACTTTTAGGACCTACCTCATTTTCACTATATGTTTGCGAAATGTTAATCCACTTCACTATACGGTTGACTTCATAATATTATACATTTTCCATTACATCCGTGTTATAAGTGAAGACTTTATTTAATTGAATTTACCTAGATAGCTTAAATAATTATGTAATGGCCCCCACTCAAATAAATTGTGCGAGCTTACTTTACAGATATAAGCAGCTTTACCAGACGTCCTCCATTTTAACTTCTATTATCTCCATTCTTACGGACTATATTAAAGTGAACTTAAAGGAGCTGGGTAAGTTTGAAAGTACGTGCACCTAAATCTCAATTAATAAGTCGGCACAAGTGTCCCAGTACATTTTAAGCACAATAAACTTATAAGTGTATCATGCTATGTATTCAGTAATTATGTCCAAAATTATCGAATCACAAGTTTTATCAGGATCAATATATAATATATCAACGTGGTAATTATAGGGGGTTTATGAATTTATATTTGTTCATTAATAATACCGTGGTAATTATAATTCACATAATAAGTCCAACTTGTATCTCAACTGATAATGTTATTTTTAATTTTAATATAATGCTTTTAAAAATAAATTATCATTCAATTGTTATTAATATACACTGGTACATTCAGTTCAAACACACATATTGTACGTAAAATTGTTAACATAATTGCACTTGTTAATATTGTACATATATGTTCACTACGTTTGTATTATAATAATAAAAATAATTAATAAGTAACCACGTTTGAATTCACTCATAATTGAGCTTAAGTTATAATCAAGGTAATCATATTACTAATATAATTAATTTTTACATAGTTAACTTAGATACGCATGATTTCATAATACATTTGTGGCACCTGAGTACATAATATGTTTATTAAGCTAATAATTACCATGATGTTTGTTAAGTTATAATAGAAAACAGGTTTACATTAATATTTAATTGTTAAAAAAATATTTACAAAAAAAATAATTTAAATATAAATTCAATTGATTGATAATAGAAATGATGTCAACCCTCACATCCAGTTCCCAATGTCATAAAATGTGTTCATAATATTTATTCAGATTTATTTAAAATATAAACACATGTTAAGTACAAAATTGTTACAAAAATTTCAGTTTTGGTGATTTTGTAATTGTTTTAAAAAATTATAATTAATATAAAAATTTAATTAACAACAAAAAATTAACTTTTAATTGTATTATAAATTAATAGTAATTGTAAGTTGTGGTTCCCAATATATAACATTATTTAATCAAATTAAAATAATAATTAAAGTAATCAATTACTCTGGTACAGTTTGTTGAATATTAATAACAAAAACTATACTGTATCTAAAATTAAAAATATAAAACTATTAATTTGTTACTAAATACTATTTATTAATAATTTTGACCCCTGCTAATTAAATTTATAACAAATATTCCAGCATTAATAATTTGTATAATATGTAATTTAAATCACCAATAAATTTTAAACTACCTTGTAATTATGTACAATTTTATAAACTAAGGTATAAGTTTTATGTAATGGCACAATTTTTAACACTATGGCGCGCGCTTAAGACTTAATTGTTGGGATCAAACTGTGGGTCATTTTGTAGGCCTGTTATTATTGAT